GCCCGGCGGCGCGCATGCGCGGGGCCGCCCGGGCGGCGGGGCGCACAATGCAGCTCCATGTGTCGCTCGCTGGCCAGATTTAAAGAGAAACGAGCCGGCAGCCGCTCCCTCCCCCGCTCGCACATGTTCCCCCGCATCCTCTAGGATAAAGTAATCCCCTCGAGAAAACGCGCAGGTCTGCCCGGCGCCTTGGGCGAATCTGATTGCTTCTTTTCCCTTACGTAAAAATTGCTTCATACCCAGATAAGGAGATGTGTGCTAGGTGTACCTAAACTCAGGCAAATACAGCGCTGGCTGAAGTTTGCTGAGTAGCCGTACAAAGCGACGGGGTCACAGAGTGGCACATGAATTCCTGGAGGAGGATTTTGGCCTGAGACTTTCAGTCATGTCTTTGAAAGCATAAGGGTGGAAAACAACAGGGTTAACAGTAAGGAGGTGAAGTTGCGTAACCAGGTATAGCAAGCTAGATGATGTGTTTGTTGCATCTCCAGCACTATCTTCTGATTTTAGTTGATGATAGTCAAGGAACTTCAATGAAGTTAATTATAGCATGGGATTTTTTTTTACCCCTTTAAGGTGACATTCTTTTAAAAAAATCTTATACATACTGTGGCTGTGCTCCTGAACATAAGCATGCACCTTTTAATGCCTTAGTAACTACTGAAGTTGTTAATGATATTCAGTGAGGTGTCTGCATGTATGCGTAGGCTAACAACACTAGGTATAGGCTTACTATGGGACCTCCAGACTGGATTTGATGCAAAGCTTCTCTTTCCTATAAATGATCCTTCTAGGGAAGCAATAGTGTAGAATAGTTGCTCTCTAACTTGATTAAAAATGAGCATTAGGTAATCTAATATACTACTTTGGCTGTCTGGAATTTATCTTTTAATCAACTAATTGTGCTCCATGAAAGACAGTTTCACATTTAGCTGAAGCCTCTCAATAATAAGTATTAGCTGTCAGCTTCTGTTGCGTGGGTTTTTTCTTGTGAGGCCTTAAGATCTTCTGTAGGCACAGGCTGGTTGGATATCTAAGTAGACTTGTAGGCTGTTAAATTTGGGGATTAACTTCTGTTTACCTTTCTGCTCACTCTTTTCTGAAGGATTCATGTGTAACAGTAAAAACTAGTAAGCTTTTCCAGTTGCCCATATTACTGCTACTGATTCAACTGTGCTGACTCAAGCATTGCAACTATTTGCATGTAAGGTGCAACTCTTCTGTGGAGTTACCGTGTTTTAAATAATGTAGTATGTTTGGTATCCTCTTATATGTGTTAAAAAATATTAAAAGTGATTGTGAGTGTGCATACTTAAGTGTGTGGTAAGTACTGAGGAAGAGTCTTGAACTCATCAAAAGGCCTGTCTGGAGTAACCAACCTGAGAAGGAAAATAGTTTCTTCTGGGTGCAGTAACCTAAGCAACATCTGAACTGAGCTGAAACTAGATTCTGACACTGCTTTTTCTGATGGCAGGCTACTTGAAGTCGCAATGCAGAGACTGAGCTTCATGATGTCTGACCTTCCTTCCCTACTGCTGACTGTCTTCTTCCAAGTCTCACCTGCTCCAATGTGTCCCTTTGTTTACACCCACACTACTTGTTCTACCTCAAAACAAAAATCAACACTGTGGTATTCTTTCCCCTGGTGGGGCTGATACTTCAGTCCTTCTGCTACATGCAGCTTTTGCTTTATATCAAGTGTGGTGAGTCATTGGGTTGTACCTAGTGGTTGGGTTTTGGAGGACAGCGAACAGGCAGTGGATATGAGTTATGTGATCTAAACTAGTTTAAATTGCTCTGGATCACTCGCTTGTCAAATTAGCGTTATTCAAGCACAAGAAGTCGGAGCTGTTAGACTTGGAGCAAGATATCCAGAAGTGGAGGGAGGTTGAAGGGGGAATCTGAAACCCATATAATGGTGGAGCAGTTGAGGAATATAGAAATTCTTTAATGCATGAGACCGTGGGTAGCTCCTCTCAGTGCCAAGAGGGGGAAAAAGCCAATGACAGGAGGAGAAAGGAATGTAAAACAGTAGTTCTCAGAACACTTACCTTCTTGGTCTCCCATATGCTTTGGTTCTTAATTATGGGGAGAATAGGTGTTTATGGCATGTAGCACTTGAATGAGTTGTTCCTCCTTCTTGAGGACTTTGTTAAAGTGAAGGTCAACTAGTAAGTCATCTTGCTTGTCAGTGAGACTTAAAACCAATGGTCTTATCAAAACACGTAATGAAACTTGACAACATATCCCAGGTTGCCTCAATAAGTGTGTGAAGGCAGACTTCTACTTTTTTCTGGTGCAAGCTGGCTTGTATTGTAACTTGAGCAGGTAACTAGTACCACAGCACCATATATACAACGTGCTTGTCAACTTAAGTGGCAAGTTCTGGATACTGATAGTGCTCTAAGAGAAGAGATATTCGATGACAGTCACAGAATATAACTTCAAGTTGATTTGGGTTGGTTGTTTTGTTTTACTTGTTTTGTTCCCCCAAATACTAAGTAGCTTTGCAGTACCTTTGCTAATGACATATTGAGCTATATCACCAGGGAATTGTATAGTAGCTGTTCTTATATTGACATGTGCTTACCCATTTAGTCACAAGAATGATTCAAATCAAGATAGTCAGAACTTTAGGTAGTTTTTAATTGTTTTCTTTTTTAAGTGTTTAAAGGAACTGTTGAGTGGGGATCTCTGACTACCAAAGCCAGTTAGAGTGCTAGTCTAACTAGCTCGAGCTGAAGGGAAGTTCTCTTAAAGCTAAATGAAGTGAAGCTCAATGGCTGTTTCTTCTCAAATCAACTTAATTGTAAGCTCTAGCAGCTTCTGGAAATCTCTTAAAATACGATAAACGTATTTGTTCTTACAGATGCTCTTTTTTTTTTGAAGGAAAAAGGCACTTTGTGGATTGGTATAATGTGAAATAGAAGCCACGACCTGTCTGTTTCTTCTTATGGGTAAGGTGCAGGAAAAGCTAAAAGAATGAAGTGCCTCTAAGCTTCTGAAAAAACTCAACAGCAAGCACATAGATTTATATAGTGCTCGAATAGCAGAGTTCACACACACACACACACACACACACACACACCACCACCACTACCCCCCCCCCCCCCCCCCGCGGGGGGGGGGGGGGGGAGACGGCTGGAGAGTCCAGTTCAAAATGTGAAAGTAGTGGCTGAACCTTGGGAAAGGGAGGTGGCTCCTTGCAACCCAGGCAGGCAAACCGTGGAGGGCACGGCTGCATCCCCCCCTCCCCCCCCCCCCCGCCCCGCGGGGAGGTGGGGGGGAGGATAAACTGTGTTCTTTGTACAGCCCCAAAACTTCATGCTCTTTGAAAGGAGGCAGGAGACAACTGAGGGTGTAAAGCTACTCTTCCAGTCTCCAGAGCTGTCAAGCCCAAGGGTTTTGCAGACTGAGCCATTTCTCTGAATGCTTTTATTTCATCTTTCTGCCAAATCCTTGCTGACATGGAGGCTTGTTAGGGTAGGCAGACTTGTCTAGTTCATCCAGCAAAATTGCGTAGGGAGGATGCAGTTAAATCGGTAGCACACAGTGGAACCAGAAGTACGAGTCCTCTTTAACATAAACATGGATCACTGAAAACAGGGGAATAACCATGCCCTTGTTGGCTGAAGTTGTACTGTGTTGTAAACATTCTCCAACTTAGGATACAAAACCCACTAATATCTTTCTCAGACATGAGAAACATGGCATTATTTCAACTTAAAGTGTATACAGCTTCTATTTAAAAGTAAAAATGTCTAATTAAAAATTAACAAGCTGGGAAACTGTATTAAGTATGAATGTGACAGTTCAACAATTTTTAATTCCTTGTGTTGAAAAAAATCTTGTAGTGTTATGTTTAGCTAGTTGAATTTCTGGCAATTACATAGGATTTACTTTTAAAATATTTGAGTAGTGAATTCTGAGGGAATTATGGAATTAAGATCACTTTACAGATCGAAGCTGAGGTGGCATATCTCTTGGGTAGCTGGTGGTATAAGAAGCCTTTGTTTACAGTTTAGTACTAGCTATTTAGTGGCTTACAGTAGGTTTGTCTACAAGATAATCTTTCAAGTGCACTGATCTGAAGTATTAAATTGATGCTAGTCTGCCTGTTGGCTTCCTTGGAGAGGTTTGTTTGTATGACCAGTAATATTCTGTATTGCCCCGAACAGTCAAGATTCTAAGGTCCTGCATGTGTCAAATTTAACTTCAGTATCACTTAAAATGCTATAACACACTCCCATCTCCCCCTTCGGATTTTTTTAAAGGATTCTGTCATATTTTTAGATAACAATCTTTGCTGTTCTGATGCTTTTTGGGATGCTTAGGTACAGCATGTGTGTACCACTCACCTTAACACTCTTGCAGTGTAGGGCCCCATTATAGCAGATAAGATAATCCAGTTTCTTGTGAGGATCGTGTTGACAGAAGCATCAATGCTACTTTGCTCATGGTGACTTTATAGATAATATCATTGCTAAAACACGTCTTGTTACAGTGACTAGAGCCTGAGCAGTACAAGCAGCCTGAATTTCTGTTGCACTGCAAATAACATAATGGATGTGACTTGTGGCAAACTGTACTAGCCGCACATGTTAGTTTTTCAGATGTTCCTTTTGTAGAAATAAGCTGAACTCCACCTCTTCAAAGAAAAGAGTATTTATGAAACCAGTCACAAGAGAAAAAATTCGGGGATGCTGGCAGTTCTGGAAAGTGAGGTTTAGCTAAACCTCAGAATTGAGGGGCTTGATGACTCAACCACTTACTCGAACAGGATGAAGCAATAACAACCTGCTTCATAAGCTTACCCTTGATGGGGCAGCTGTAGTCACAGCCAGTTGGCTCTGGCTAGGTCAGCTTACTAATCTTTCAGGGAAAGAACCAAGCTTACCATAAATGATGAGTTCTTTCCGTCTCTGCTCCCCCAAACAAGGCATTGTAAGTTACACCAAAGTATGGACATATCTGGGTCTGGCAAAGTGACTTGCTGTGCTCAGTTAGAGAATGGTGGAATGGGAGAATGCTGCTGAAGATCCTGTGAAATAGGGAGCAAATTAATACCGATTGAGAGAATACTTTCATTAGAAGAATTCCTGCTTTATCAATAAGATCTTTATTTGGAGATGTTAAATCACCCAAATCCCACTAAAATATCTTGCCTTGTGTGATTGATAGTGATTCCAATTTTAGTATTAAAGAGCTATTTGCTGCAGAAATGTAAACTGTAAGGATTTGTTGATTTGTTATAAGTGTCTCTTTTTGGTTTAAGAGAAACTGATCTGGGATAAATCAAGTAGAGTGAATAGTCATTGAACAATACCACATGTTGTAATTATAACTGATTCTGCCTTGACTCTTCTGTATCTTTTTTTTTTTTAAATACAAGGAAGACTTGGAACAGTATGTGCATATTCAACTAAGATAGGATTACTTGATCCCTTTTGTGGCTGGTATTGGTACAAGTTGTGGGTTTTTTCCTTCCCTCAAAGCCCTATTCTAAACAGTTTGAAAATAATTGAACTTTGTAGGTAAAACTTGCTTGCCTCAAATAGGTGTTCTGCTAAATTTTCTTCTAATGTCTTTAATGCAACCTCTGCTTTGATCGAGGTGTTTTTGTTTGCCAACTGTAAGGCTGTAGTTTTTGAAAGTCTTTAGGCTTGTGGGGTATTCTGCAGAAGTAAGCTTTAAGTATTGGTGCAGAATAGGGTGGAAGCATTAAAAAAAATACAGCGTTTTGTTTCCGGCATAAGGATTGGTTTCTAATGAAGCGGAACTGAACTGAAAGGTGGCTGCTGTTCTGAAAGTATAAACTAACCAAATACTAAAATGAGTGTGCAAAGTTGGGTGCCTGAAGAAAGAAGAGCAGGTGGCTTGGGTGAGCAAGAAGGGCATGTGACTCTTGAAACTTGCACGGTCTGCTTTTTGTCCCAACGTATGGGAACAGAATGTGGGTAACGCTTCACATGCAGGCCTGTGCTATCACCATGTTGCACCTGCTCTGTGCTTCAGTTTTCAGTGGTATGTGGGTATCTGGCAGTAGACTGGTCTTGGCAAGATCTTTCACTTATAGAACCTAGTAGGTCTCCTGGAAGTGTAAATGTTCATATTTGCTTCTCCTTCCTACTCTCAGGTCCAAGGCATGTCAGCTGGAACAGAGATCAGATATCCAGACCTTGTAAGAACACTAAGTATAGCAATCTAAATGAAATAGGATTCCATAAAAAATAACTGCTCTCCTGGGCATGAATGTTAGCGGTGCTTGTACAGGTTTAAAATAATATAAAGGCTTTTTGATAGAAATCCTTTGTAAAGGCTTTTACATACAGTCTTTCTGTCTGAATTGTTAAGGGAAACATATTTCCACACAATCATCACAATACCTAGTATGTCAAACTGTCTGGCTTTTTAGTTGGCTTGCACTTGGTGCTGATCTAAAGGTGATGCTGTCAGGAGTCACTTGAAGAAATGTCTTAAAACAATTCTGAATAACAATGTAGCTCAAATTAGGATATGCAAACCTGATATTTATATTATAAGCAAGAGAGAAAACAAGTTGGAAAAGTGTCCTTGACTTGCACGACAACAAATGCATATGAAGAAGGCTTTTGGTGAACTCTTCAGATGTTAACATCTCCTTATGGCATAGTCTTGTGATACAGACTTTCTAATGGATTTCCTAGAATCATGTTCTATTCTTGCATGTAACCCACATGCGTCCTAGAGCTCTTAGCTCTTTTCAACAGTGCTGTTTCATGACTGATGTGTGTATGACAGCTCAGAAGATACTTGAGTGGATTTTTTTGTAGCTTTAGACTGTTGGTAAATTGCAAACAGCTGTTTAGAAGTTAATTAACTTTTCCTGCTGTCTATGCTAAACTCAACTACATTAATATGACTGGCACCTTGGATGACACTTGTCTTGCCAAATTCTAGCAGTTGTATGCAGTAGACATCTGAAGCTCTGTAAGCTCCTTTGTAGGTGAGAGAAATAAATACTTGTAGAGTATGATTCATCTGGCCTGTTTTTGACATCTGCCTTGGAATGAGAGAATAATGGAGTCTCTGGAATTACTTATCCTTGTAAGATCTCTATTGAATGCTGCTGAGGGTGACAGTCTTAAATACAGGCAGGTGTGTGTACCCACCTAATACTTGTCTGACTGTTAAGAGTGGAAACCTGCGTTGGACACCAATGACAAAATGAAAGTAGTGTTTCTGTTACGCTGAGTGTGATGCATGAATGTGGCCCTGTGCTGCAGTTGACTCTTTACGGGCAAACCACCGAATGTTTCCTGTGAGATACTGGCTTCCTTTCAGGTGTGGATTTCAGAATCTGGGTTCTTTCAATCCTTTTGACTATCCTTGTTCTTCCCTTCCTCATACCACTTCCCCACCAAAATTCAGACCTTACTAGGAATTTTTTTAACAGACATGTTCAACCTCCATTTTAACCTGGGTGATGTAACTGTGCTAGATTCTGATATGAGGGGTTACACAGCATGCTTCAAGCAGTCTAGCCAGAGAGGGCACTTCAGGAAACAGTTTCTCTCAATTTCTACATGACTGATATTAATTTGAACATATATTCTAAATTTACTGCTGAGGATCTTAATTCTGGAAGCATAACTATTTAGAAACTGTAGACAATCCTGTGGAATTCAAAGGTTTCCATCAGTATAGTTTGTATTTCCAGTGTTCTGTGGAGGCTGATTCAGACAGGAAAGTAACTTGAACACCACCTTAATCGTGAGAGAAAAAACTTACGGGCTTAGTAGGCACAATGTGCTCCACAGTTACTTAAGTTACTGAGTTGCAGACATTTGCTTAATGGCAAACACATCAGGGGGAGGGGGAAAGACACCTTCCTTCTGTGTATGGTATGGAAAAGGACTGGTTTGAGTGTGTGTGCACAGAAGGCTTCTATGTATGAAGAGTGCTACAGAAAGAAAAT